CAGAGTGCTAGGATTACAGGCTTGAGCCACCGCGCCCGGCCTGTTTTGTTTTTTTTAGGAGCAGGGTCTTGCTCTGTGGCCCAGGGTAGAGTACAGTGGCACAGTCATAACTCACTCCAACCTTCAACTCCTGGGCTCAAGCGATCCTCCCACCGCAGCCTCCCAAAGTGCTGGGATTATAGGCAGGAGCCACTGTGCCCAGCCAAAAATAGGTTTAAGTGAATGAAAATTCAAAATTCTAAAATTTGTGGGATATAGCTAAAGCAATGCTGAGAGGGAAATTTGTGAGACTAAATACATGAAAAAAGAAGTAAAGTCTTAATGAGCTAAGCTCCCATCCCCAAGATACCAAAAAAAGAAGAGCAAAATAAACCCAAAACAAGAAGGAAGGGTATATTAAAGATAATAGTAGAAGTCAATGAAATTGAAGAGAGAAGAATAGAAGGAAATCAATGAAACAAAAAGATGGTTCTTTGGAAACAGACCTCTTGAGAAGACATAAACTGCCAATATCAGGAATGAAACAGGATATTGCCAGACTTGCAAGACATCAAAAAGAAAATACAAGAATACTAGGAAAAACTCTCCAGAAATAAATTTGACAACATAAATGAAATGGACAAACTAACACAACTCACTGAATATAAAGGAGATAATTTGAATAATCCTATAATTGCTAAAGAAATTGACTTTATAACTTTAAGACTCCCAAACAAGAAATGTCTAGATCCAGATGGTTTCACTGGAGAATTCTACCAAAAATTTAAGGAATTAACAACATTCTGCACAAATCTCTTTTAGAAAATAGATTAGAAAACATTTTATAACTCATTTATTTTTGAGGCCAGTAATACCCTGATATCAAAAAGAAAAATCGTACCAAAAAATCAAAACTACAGACTTACATCCCTCATAAATATAGAAGCAAATGTCCTTAACAAAATATTAGCAAGTAGAACTCAGCAATATTTAAAAATAATTATACCATCATGACCAAGGAGGATTTATTCCGGAGACATAAATGTAGTTTAGTGTTTGAAAATTGGTGTAATTCTCCATGCTAACAAGCTAAAGAAGAAAAACTACGTGATCCTATAAAAAAATTTTTGTTTTTGAGACAGAGTCTTGCTCTGTTGCCCAGGCTGGAGTGCAGTAGTGCGGTCATAGCTCACTGTAACCTCCTGGGCCTCCCAAAGCACTGGTGTTATAGGCGCACACCGCCATGCCTGACCTATGATCGTACCAGTTAATTCAGAAAGAAAATTTGACAAAATTCAAAGTTCTAAGTACCAAGAATACAAGAGAAAAATCTGGCTCTCATTTTAAGCCCCCCAGTCACCATGATCCCTCCGTAGGGGTAACAACTATGGCTAACATCTGTGTTCCTAGAGAAATTCTGTGTGCAATGAGAGGTGATTCTGTCTGTCCCTCTCCCCGCCTGCCTTCTTACACACACACCCACACCACATCCACAGAGGCAGAAGACACCTGCTAGTGGCAGTTTAATGCAGTTCCAGGTCCTGCCTTGCTTCACCTGCCCCAGCGCCCAGCTCCCTGTGACTCAGGAATGCGGTGGTGCAAGCTGTGCGCTTCCAGAATGCAGCACCCCTGATTTGTCTGTGGATGTGTAATGCCTAGCAATGGCAAACATGTTTTCTGCAGTCTTCCTTCTTCCTAACACACCTCCCATAAACAGAAATAGAAACAGCCTTACCCCTCTGCCGTCTGCCAGGGGTGACAGTGCACAGCAGGGGGAAAGGCTTTAAGGCCAGCCTGAGCAGTTGTAATTGGCAAGTCTAAACTTCTTTGAGCCGCAGTGTCCTCATTTGTTAAATGGGAAGAATAATACCCACCTTGCAGGGTTGTTCGGAAACAGCGAGTGAGATATATTAAAGACGTATACACAGCCGTGGCCTAAAGCAGACAGCTTCGATTAATGGCTACTTCGTAAGCGTAACATAAAAGGCTTTGTGAAGCACATTGGTGGTAGATTTTCCTACGAATTCAGAACAGGTCAAGGGATTCGCTGATTTTCCTTGAATCAAATTTTTAAATTTATATAAATACTTGCATATGCCAGTAATTTAAGTTTTCCAATTAATGTATCTCTTTGGTCCCATATGCTACAATTAACTTCTTGAATTCTTAATCTTGTATTAAAACAATGAAGAAGTTGGCATTCATACACTGCCTCTATTGTCCTCTTTCCCCAGTCTGTGTGTATCTGTACACACACATAGGTATATGTGAATATATGTAAATAAAATTATATATACACACACACATTTTTTTCTGATTCCATTTTATTGTAATTAATCAAAATTCTATTTCTTGATTTACCAATTTTAAAGAGCCTCCAAAAGAACTATAATGAAGTTTTATGGCTTTATTCATAAGTCAGTTCTAAAAGCTAAAAACTAATGGACAACACTGATTATATAATACTATTTCATGTAGAATCATACGGTGTGAGTGGATTCATGAGAAGAGAAATATATCCCATGTTAAGACAGAGATCAAAGAATCTTTCAAGCATCAAGGTGGGACAGAATTTCTCTCCTCCAGCTTCCCTTCCCTCTATGTTGTACTGAGCTGCCTGTTTCTCATGTCCAGTATCAGTCTCTTGGATTCTTTCTTCATTTTGCAGAAACATGCATCCATCTTCTGTCTCCTGTACCAGAACTTGTCAGGTCCAAACTGAAACATTTCTTTGCCTCAAAGACTGCAGTAGCCTCCCACTTGCCCTCAACTGTGTCTACTTTTGCACTCAATAATTTGGCAGTCAGGGTGGTTTATTTTTTCAATTTTAACTTTTTACTGAAGTAAAATATACATACAGAAAAATGCATTTATCATTGGAGTTCAAATCAATTCATATCCATAAACTGAACATACCCAGATTAAGGATCAACATTACCCTGACCCCAGAAAGCCCTTCTGCTCCCTTCCAAATCGCTAACTACCAGGAGCAGTGACTTCCAACAGCATACATTAGTTTTGCCTGTTTTTGTATTTTATTTAAAATATATGAATGGGTCACTAGGTGATAGGAATTTTTTTTTTTTTTTTCTGAGACAGAGTCTTGCTCTGTTGCCTGGGCTAGAGTGCTGTGGCATCAGCCTAGCTCACAGCAAGGCTCAAACTCTGGGGCTCAAGCTATCCTCCTGCCTCAGCCTCCAGAGTAGCTGGGACTATAGGCATGCACCACCATGCTGGCTAATTTTTTCTATATGTTTAGTTGTCCAGCTAATTTCTTTCTTAGTATAGACGGGGTCTCACTCTTGCTCAGGCTGGTCTTGAACTCCTGACCTTGAGCGATCCTCCTGCCTCGGCCTCCCAGAGTGCGAGGATTGCAGGCGTGAGCCACCACGCCCGGCCATCGGTGATAGGAATTTTTTTAAAAAAATTTAAATATGAATGGAATCACCTGCACTCTGTATCTGGTTTTATCGCTCAGTATCTCAATATTACATTTGTTTGAAATTCATCTGTATTGCACGTAGTTCTATGTTCATTCTCGTTGCTGTATAGAAGGGGTACACTGGGATTTATCCTTTCTCCTATTGAATATTTGAGTAGTTTCCAGTTTGGGGCTATTATACTCAGTATTGCTGTCTTGGTGAGCACATTTATGCATTTCAGTCAAGAATATCTAAATTCCCCCTGCAATATAAGGCAGTTCCAGTTGCTCCACATCCTCACCAACACTTATTTTCCATCTTTTTCATTTTAGCCATTCTACATGATCTTTTTGAAAAACAAACGTAACATTGCAGTCTCCTTAAAACTCTTCCCAATGACCTTAGAATCAAAATGAAATTCTTTTGCATGGCCTACAGAACTCTGTGATCTGGTCCCTACCTCCACAATTCGACCTGCGTCTAGATGCATCCCGTTTCCCACCTAGCATGCAGCTCTTCCTCCCAAACACAGCACTTGCCATTCTCCTCCTGCCACCCTGGGCCTCGCACACAACAAACTCTTTGCTTTCTTTCCTGGGAGTACCTCTAATCCTTCAAATATCAACTCAGTGATCTCTTCTTCAGGTCAAATCCCACTATAATATGCTGTCGGAGCACTTAGCTTCAGTTTAACAGTTTAATTAGTGCTATTTCATTTCTAAACTCTCTAGTCTGGGCTCCACCAGTGCAGAGAAGTGTACTTTACTCACCCTTGCACACACGGCCTAGCACAGAGTTTGAACTCATATATTTGAAGAAACGAATGAATGGGTTGTTAATGTAGTACTTTTTGCCTCTGAAGAGTTTTTATGGTGGGGTGAATCTTACATTTGATATCCATTGGGAGAAACCCTCAGGTCTGAAACTGTTTATTGATATGGAGAATTTAAGAGAATCACAGAAATGTCATTTGGCTATTTATTAACCTGAATTTATTTTCTTCAACTTTTACTGTTGACCTAAGAGAAGCCAGAAATGTCACATCACATTGTTCAAGGTCTATCTGATTGTAACCTTTAAAGATGTTGAGTACATGAGTCACGGCCATTTGTACAGTTTTCTAAATGGACAAGGACATTAGACTCATTGGTTTCACAGGCCTCCCCTCAAATAGAGAATTAGGCAGTAAAACTGCTCAAGGGGGTAAACTCTGAAATTTCCCCTGAAAATTTTATATCCATCTTTACACAATCGGAAAGATGAGAGAAGCCACTTGCCCAGCTGCAGCAAACCCATGACCACAAGGCCTCAAGGCTTTGTGTTTGGTCCTCCCTGCTTGATCAAAGCAGTGTCTTAGCCTGTTTTGTGCTGCTGTAACAGAATGCCAAGATTGGGTAAATTTATAGTGAACAGGAATTTATTTACAGTTCTAGAGGCTGGGAAACCCAAGATCAAGGGGCCAGCATCTGCTGAGGACCTTCTTTGTGTCATCCCATGGTGGAAAGCAGGAGGACAAAGAGGCTGGCTTCCCTGCTTTCTCTAGGCCTTGAGCCTTTCTGCGAGGGTCCTACAAACATCTCCTTTCTGCTCCTGTTCCAGAGCCTGTCCCACTGTGAGCTCATCACAGACGACGGGATCCTGCACCTGAGCAACAGCACCTGTGGCCATGAGCGGCTGCGGGTACTGGAGTTGGACAACTGCCTCCTCATCACTGACGTGGCCCTGGAACACCTAGAGAACTGCCGGGGCCTGGAGCGTCTCGAGCTGTATGACTGCCAGCAGGTTACCCGTGCAGGAATCAAGCGGATGCGGGTAGGTGTGGTGCAGGAGTCCCTCACACCTGGGGTAATTTTAATTTCTCAGCAACAAAGAAATAACATCAAGAATCAACACCCATTTTCTCCATTCTATCCTAAGCCAATAGTTATGCAAACCATCCGGTTACACAAATGTTACCTTAGACTTACTCAAAATTCCCTTGCTTCGACTCCACCCTGTAAGATTCAACTTCAGTGGGTTTGGGGTAAAGGTTCCACAGTCAGGTCATTAGCACCCCTATAAGAAGGCCTCAGTGAAAGGAAAACAATTTAAGGTCATTATCAATAGATGGCAGAACATAGTCTTGGCTAATTTCCATGTAAGAGGGCTTAACTGAATTCGGCTTTCTTTGCCCATATATTTCACCTACATTGTTTTCTTAATTATGCTTTAAATTTAGGCATCTACATTTATACTTCAAAGCAGCCCCATCCAGGGTGCAACAGCTATAGAGAACTTTCACTTGGTTTGCAAATAGGGTTGGTTACTGTTCCTGGGCCAAAATATATCAACTTAGGAGTTTCCATTTGTCTTTAGAAGGTACTGTTAGGGGGTGAGGAGGCGGGTAACAGGAGTAGCTATGGCAGAAATTCTACTTGGACTTTCTGCCTAATATTAAGGTGAAATAGATTCTAAATGGAGGACTATAGCTTTTCTAGGATTATGACAATCCTAAAAACACCAGGTTAAAGATGCCTCCACTTTTTCCTTCTTTATCCTTCCAGGCTCAGCTCCCTCACGTCAAAGTCCATGCCTACTTTGCTCCCGTCACCCCACCAACAGCAGTGGCAGGGAGTGGACAGCGACTGTGCAGGTGCTGTGTCATTCTCTGACAGCAGCTGCCCAGGCCCAGGGGTGACGGGGCATCCCTTCCTCCAGAGAAGACCTGAGTCTTCCAGCCTGCTCCGTCACCCAGATCTGTTGACTCTGCATTGGGAAAGGCATTTACAGGTAAAAGACTTCTGTATGGATTGCAGTAACTCTGGGGGTTTTCACCTTTATTCTGCTGTGATACAATCAAATCGAAGCCTTGTGTCAGTTAACATGTGGCAAGTGGTCTCAGTGCAGCCAAGACCATGCCAGAAACCTGGATTTCAGAGGTGGGTACCTACCTAGGCACAAAAGTCCTACCCTTGGCTTTATCAGCATTCCTCAAACAGACCATCAGTGTTAGCACAAATTGAGCAGAAAAAATAAGCTGTTGATTTTCTACCTGATATTTAAGCCAGTGGCCTACTTTAATTCACAATGATTCCATTTTGATTAGCAGGACTTTTCCACTTTGAAGATTAAATAGCAACTTTTTCAAAGTGACTGTACTGCAAATTCATAATGCCTGATAGTTTTGTATGTAGAGACTTATGTGGAAGGCATGTTAATAGGTTTCCATGACACCAAAGAAAAGAGGACTCCAAACTGGGTGGAGCAGGGTCTTCACCTTTCTGTTTCTGTTAGCTTGTCACATACACCTCCAGGGACCAAAAACTAAACAAAAGCAACTCAGAGTTTATGTTGCCTGATTGGAAATTAGAAGCTCTGGCATATGCTACAAACATAATGCATTTCTGTTAAAGGAAAAAAGCTAATTATGTCCACACCTCTCACAAAATTGGGGGGACCATAAAGAAACAGAATTAAGGCTTAAGTTACCTATAATATAAGCAATTAAAAATAATGAATGGATGCATGTAGAATGGATGTGGTTTTCTTCAAGTTTATTTTAAAATCTTAGAAAGCAGATTATACCAGAACTATTCAAAAATTTTACACACTTAAAATTCAGATCAGTAAAGTGTTGGCACCTTTTAGACTCATAATGTAAAACTGAATAAACCATTGCAATGCTTACAAAATTAAGTCAGAGGGTTTTATTGCTATGATTTTATGGCAGACAAATCCAAGCAAAACCATTTTCTAAATTCAGACCTTTCTAATGTTATCTGGAATCTGATTGAGATGACCTATTTTCTGCTGTGGCTGATTCTTGCTCTGTGTCCACGTTTGTGATCTTTATTGAAGATTAAGAACCTGTCACCACCTTCATTGAGAGCTTGGGTGTTAAATGGTAGCTGACCCTTCCTAGCAACCACTCCCCAAACTGAAGTGAAACAGCAAAAAGAAGATGTTTTCCTATGACCAGCAATACCTCCACTAGATGGACAGTTTCAGAAGCACTTTTAAGGACATTAATGCCTTGGCTGCATTCTAGGACGAGAAAGCAGACACATACATACCCACATAAATTGACTCAGCAAGATTATCAGAATAAGCATTCACGTCCTGATTATCTTATTGCCTTATATTCCAGTACTCCTTGGTCTAAAAATTGTGTGGCTACCATAGCAGTTATTTAAGTATACGTTTATACCACTGTTGGGGGGAGGTGGACTGATACAAGAAGCCATTTAAATATGAATTAGTTTCTACAAAAAAATTATCTCTTGTGAGCCAGGACACAACCTAGCATAGCTACTGGACTCAATGCTTAATGCCCCATGGTCTCATGTATAAAAAAGGAGAACTTCTTATAGGAAAATCAGGCTTGCTTCCTCTTTAAGTGGGAAATAGTTACTGGAATAACCTGTTCTCAAGTCCCATCAGCTTTGAGAAAATAAACTGTGAAGAGGGGAGAACCCAAAAAAACAAACATGGGCCTGACCTCTCATAAAATCTGCACTGGTGTATGCTCAGAGCCTACACAGCGAATTCCTTGTTGACTCTATGACTTGAGGTGACACTAGCAGGAACTGGGATTTTAAATGAAACACACATTTGCAAAACAATTGGAAAACATTTATTATACTGAAATGTGTACATCCTACTATTAAAAAAAACAAAGTAACAAATTTGCTGGTGCCATAATTTATTTAACCTGTTTCACTTGGGACAGACTCATGTTCAATGCCACTCAGTGTAATTTCAAGTTTGATGAGCTAAGTATTTTTATCCCACTTTAAAACCTGACAAGGAATTCAAAATAGCACACAGCATTAAATGACATTTATTGTTCCATAAATCTTGAGACCAAAAAGGGAATGCTAAATAGACAAGCAAAACTCTAAAAGAAGAAGAGATGAGCTCACTTCTTTCCCAAGTGACTGGTATGGAAAACATGTGGTCACATAAAGCAAAGGGAAAGGACAGAAAGGAAAGCTCTCCTCCTACAGCGTCTATAGGAGTTGTATTTTCAACCATAGATAAAAATATTGAGACCGTGCTTCTTTGTAGCAAATAACCCTTTATGATTAAAACATAAAATGTCAAAGCTTTTACCCACTGCAGTAGTTTGTCTATTCATTCGTATTTCTGCCTGAACAAACATGAGGATCAGATGGTACATTCAAAGTCAAAACACTTGGGTAAATGGACAGAGATGCTATAATTAAAATGGAATAGAAGCTTAAAAATTTTTTTATCTGCTACACCACAGGCCTCAAAAATGCTTGCTGATGAACTGTGGGAAGGTTCTGGGTGAAGGGAGTAGATAAAAGTAATAGGAGAAAAATGAGAAAATAGTGGATTCCCTTTGAAAAGTATGCTAGCAGACAAGCATTTGGTTTTATTAAAGAGGCACTCTTTATAGGAAAAAGCTATTATGTGGTGTATAAAAAGCCCCTAAATAATCATCAGAATATTTATCCATGATTGTACTAAAGCTCAATATTTGAGGAACGGCTTAAGGGATTTGCATGGTACATTTTAGTGTTTGATTTATGACATATCTAGTGTTTCCATGAAAAATTTCATCTTGTTCATGATAAAGATCCCCTAACACCAAAGTCAGACGCTATCATCAACAATACTTTTTTCCAATGTCTGGGGTAGGGCTTTAAAAATGTTTAAGAACAAAATGGTGTTGGGGGTAGTAAGTCAGATGAAGAGAGGGAAGAAAATGAGAAAGAAAATCGTAAGTGTTTAAAAGGCAAGGAAGCTTCAAAAAATGAAAACCAGAAACTAAAATGCTAAAATGGAAGCAGAAGCAAAAAAGTTTTTCAATTCATCTGTGACAAAGCAAAAACACAAAGTCTTTGTACCTATTAGGATTTACACTGATCCTCTCACCAAGGTACTCCTGATAAATGCAGTTTGCTTCAAAAGCCCATCATACTGGCTTGGATGTTCTCCGATCTGGCATGATCACATCAGACGTACACCCTCACACATGATTTCTTCCGATAAGGCGCTGAGCCTCTTACCTGACCACCAATTGCCACACGAGCACAACACACCTCTCCGCAGACAGATTCCACGCTGGCTCCACAACAGCACTGTCCCCTCATTTCCTCCCTAGGTCAGCTAAGGTTCAGGCAATAAAAGCCAAACTGGCACAGAAAGGTAAATGCCCACAGTAAGTTTTTACATTCATTTCCAAACCGCATACAGTGTAAAAAGACAGCAAAGGCTGCTTCTAGGAACTGTATCTACTGGCCTCTGCCAGAGAAGCAGGCAGCTACGCCTGCACCGTGGCCTCCAGAGCTGGATGCACACTGTCCCGATGTGCTCACTCTCACGGGGATGCTTGGCTATGGCAGTGACAGTGAGGAGATTCACCTCTCATACAGCTCATTAGAAAGGTCATCTTGTGTTTTCAATATGAAACATTTCATATGGTAAAATCCAATCCCAAGACTTCTTGGATTCAGTCTTCACACACTTTTAAGCGTGACTTTATTTGGTACTGAATATAGTTCAGTCTACATAAGACATCACTTCAAAATTATGTGGATACCATCACCATTTTCAGCTGCAGAAAAAGGAAAGAAATTATTTTTTTTAACCAGATTTAGGAAAACAAGACTACTAAATTGAAAACTCCCTGAAAATCTACAACTCCCTGCTCCAATCCAGGTTACCTTTAAATAATTCTAGACAAAAAAGCACATTGATTTGCTGTAGCTCTTCTTCCGTAAGACAACTTCATGCACACATTTCCTTTTTAGACATTCTGCTTTTTCATGCCTGCCCATATTCCTATCAACACCCCTGCTCCCACCCACACCACTTGCCAGTTCTCAGGGGTCGAGAGGAAGGGGGGCTGTCTATTAAGACAAAAAGCAAAAGTGCTGTACACAAGGGGAGTAAAACCTAAAGGTAGAACAGATGAAAATACTATGCGAGGGCAGAGGACAGCGTCAACATATACAAAATATACAAATAAATGGAGGGTGTAAATGTATACATCCATCTTTTCTCAAAATTTTTTTGAACTCCTCAGGTAGATTTGAAACATTTTAAAAATATCACAACTTTTGGGCTGGGCACGGTGGCAAACACCTATAATCCCAGTACTTTGGGAGGCTGAGGTTGGAAGATCACTTGAGGCCAAGAGTTCAAGGCCAGCTGGGGCAACATAGTGAGACCTTGTCTCTACAAAAAATTGGGCCTGTAGTCCCAGCTACTTGGGAGGCTGAGGCAGGAGTATTGCTGGAGCCCAGGGGTTCAAGATTACAGTGAGCTGCGTTCACACCATTCCACTCTAGGCCTAGTGACAGACCAAGACCCTGTCTCAAAAAAAAAAGTCTACTTTTGCCTGATGGCCTAGTATTTCTCTGTAAATGGTTAGAAGCAGCCCAGGAATACATAAAGAAAGAAATGAATTTTTTCATAAGGACAAAGTTTGAAAAACAGTAAACAGAGTCTGGAAGGGAAATCCTATGACATCTGGCACCACACCGGAAGTCTCCACTGGTTTCAAAGAACACAACTATACAATTGGAGTATGCATCTTCTTTTACACACAATGTGAGTTTTATAGGGCATAAAAACTGTGCTGCTGTGAGAACAAAAGATTGAGCAGAAGGGTACTAAGTTAAAGATGTCTCTGACAGTGAAAGACAGAGTGAACCAATTCCGTTAAAACTCAGACTTGCAGGTAAACTGATGGCATATACAACACATCAGGTACAAAGGAAAATCATAATTTCAGCAGTCTAGGGCCACTCCTTTCTAGAGTGACTTACAGGAAAGAGCACATAACATCTTCTAGGGGCGGCTTCTGTGCTAAGATTGTTTGGATTTACTTATTTTTTTTTTTTTGAGATAGAGTCTCACTGTGTTGCCCAGGATAGAGTGCCGTGGCATTATCCTAGCTCACAGCAACCTCAAACTCCTGGGCTCAAGCCATCCTCCTGCCTCAGCCTCCCGAGTAGCTGGGACTACAGGCATGCGCCACCATGCCCGGCTAATTTTTTCTATATATATTTAGTTGTCCAATTAATTTCTTTCTAATTTTAGTAGAGACGGGGTCTCGCTCTTGCTCAGGCTGGTTTCGAACTCCTGAGCTCAAACAATCCGCCCGCCTCGGCCTCCCAGAGAGCTAGGATTACAGGCGTGAGCCACCATGCCTGGCCCGATTGTTTGGATTTTAACCCATCTGACTTTTAAAACTGTCTATGAATGTATGATCTTGTCTCAAATAATTCTGCTTTTAAAAATCCCTCCTTTAATGGTTAGAACTCAACTGAACCTGCTCCAGGCCCTCTTTCCACATTCTTTCCTTGGATGACCTCAACAACTTCTATGCTTTGAAGTCACTGCTGATTTGCTGAAGGCTTCCAAATTTACATCTCAAGCCCAGGCCTCCTTTCTGAGCCCCAGACTGGCTTTTTTTTTTGAGATAGAGTCTCACTCTGTTGCCCGGTAGAGTGCTATGGCATCAGCTTAGCTCACAGCAACCTCGAACTCATGGGCTCAAGCGATCTTCCTTCCTCAGCCTCCCGAGTAGCTGGGACTACAGGTATGCACCACCATGCCCGGCTAATTTTTTATATTTTTAGTTGCCTGGCTAATTTCTTTCTATTTTTAGTAGAGATGGGGTCTTGCTCTTGCTCAGGCTGGCCTCAAACTCCTGAGCTCAAGCAATCCTCCTGCCTCGGCCTCCCAAAGTGCTAGGATTACAAGCGTGAGCCACCACACCCAGACCAGACTGTTTAATTAACTGCCTACTTGACATTTCTACATATCCAAAATGAAACTGCTGGTTGCTTTACCTCAACCTTACTTACCTCTGTAACGAGACTATCATCTGCCCAGTCGTTCTCCATGGAAAATCCAGGAGTCACAACTATTCCTTCCTCAAATGTGCAGCCCACTGAGGCCCTGTCT